CTTTTTAAACTTACCTAAGAACTGGACGCATATTTCCGTTCTCTCAGGCTTTCTGTTGGAACGAAACTTTGTTTTTTGTGCCTGGATTTGCCAAAGTTTTTTATAAAATTGTATTTCATTTGTGTCAGGGGGCGTAGATGGGAAATTATTGGTTTATCCTGTAACTCTTTTCTCTCTTGATATGCCAGAGATGCAGGTTTCTCACATATGTAAACAGAGAACTGAAAAAAGCAATTTTTATGCGGTGTGAAGACCCTTTTCTGGGGTGGGGTGGGGGTAGGTAGTGCCAAATATTATTGGCTATTATTTCAATATTTATTACCAGCCACTTTTTCCACTTTTTTTAGCTTTTCTGGAGGACGAGGCAATATGGCCACGTTTGATCACAATTCACTGGAACATTACATATAGCACCTTTAATTTTCCTCTGTTATTCTTTTGGCATGACAATTATGTTTTCAATGCGCTGGACTATTATTATTTGTCCTAGTTTTTGGAGATCTTCCAGCTCAGTTGGGATGTCGTCTACATATAAGTTGTTAACTGACATGGAAAACTGCCTTGATTGACTTTAGAGTGACAAGTCTTACAGATAAACTCTTTTCCATCAAATGACAATAGTGTATTAAAAATATCCTGAGAAGGGTGACTAGTGTTATTGAGTTTTAAGACAGATTTTTTATAAAGTGTTCTGTTTAAAACACATGTACCTTGAGGCTGCCCTCTTCCATACAAATCTCTAGCGTGAGAAACAAATATTTTGAACCCCATATTCAAAGATTAGTACAATAGATTGCAACAACAATACACCTTTCTGTTAATATGAAATTGGTGTAGTTTTCAGATATGAGCGACTCAAAGACTCTTCGTAAAGAGGTTCAGCAGTTTCTTGGTGAACAGTACCAGAGTAGCTTTCACTGTATTCCAGTTGATAATCAGTATCAAACACATTTAATGCTGTGGATAATTCTGACTGCATTAAAAACACCTGTCTGGCTAATCGTGACAAACTTGATTTCCAATTTTCGTTGACAAACTGATTTCCAACATTCATTATTTGAAAACTCATTGCAACACATTGTTGTCCTGCATTTTGTCCAAAAACTAACTCGTTACCTTGACAATATGGAGCTGCTATTGTTTTGTTAGGGTCAACATATATTAGAGGACCAGGATCTTTTTCTATGTCTGTACTTAATTTATAGTTGCAATAATTTGCTATATGATCCTCACTCTTGCAAGAAAACAATGTCAATTATGGGCTGGCACGATATTTTATCTTTCTTATACTTTGACGAATTCTTTCACGACAGTTTAAATTGAACGTCATCTTATTTACTAGCTTTATAGCATTTACATAACAGTAAAATGTAGATGACATGGGTATACATGAAAGAATACGTGCATAGACAAGTTCACTAACCCTTCTGAATGCCGTTTTCTTGAGAGTGCGTAACAAGTGAGGAATGTGGACTAAATCAGAGTTCCTTTCGTCTTTGAGCTATATTTACCTGGATCAGATAAAAATGAGCTTCAACTAAGAGGAAAATGGATAGGCTCACGCAATTTATCTCGAGACATGACTTTGTTATTCTTTCAAACAATTGTACAAGTAGTCTTATTTCCTAGAATAAAATGACTGAGGTACCACACACATAATGGTTGATTATAACTTCTATTGTATCGATTAACCAATAGCTATTAAATAAAGGTATAAACTGCACTCTCTAGGGGTATAAAGGCTAATGAAACACGCAAAGAGTTTTCAAATCACTCAGCCTATACTCGGGAGAAAAATGTTGTTCCGTTTACCAAGCATCAAGAACCGATCGAAATGTTATATCAATGCTATATGAGCCTGGAGTATTGTTAATACTTGAAATGAGAAGAGTAAGTCAGTTCTTAGTTGCTTTATTTTGCTGAGTGTAAAATTCCATAGTTATAGAATGAGTGATTTGAAAGTAATTCTTTAGTTTGTGGAGGTTCAAACGTTTATGTTGCCAAAGTAATTCTCTGTTAATATACATCAACCATTGCTTCCGGACATCAACTAAGTCATAAGTTGTATTATCATGTTGAGTTCAAAGTCTGCCTAGGCGTAGTTTCCAAGCTCCTCGTCCGTGAGGTGCTCTCAAACTTTTGCAAACTCAGAGAGAAGCGTCTCCTTTGGCAGATTGTTTAAAAAAATTTGTAATAAAACAATTACTTTATTAATTTTCCACATAATGTTAAGGACGGGAAAATGTTTGGCTCTCGGTCATGATTTCGAGTCAAATATTGTCCCACCTGGCTCTTCCACTCAGTCATTAAGTAAATTGGAAGATGAGACGTTATAGTCAATATTGCATCCCCTTTTCTTGACCCTCACCCCACCCCTCGGGATGAAGTGTGGGACTTTCAGTTGCGCACTAGCAGTTGTACTTAAAGGGCAAAAGTTTACTAACACTGCATCTAACTAAGTCTGGCGTACATTTTTAGAACTTTAGAACAGATTGGTTTAGGTCGATTTTTAGAACTCTGAAGCAGGGGTTTGGTTCTCTGCGTTAAATTCTAGCATGAGTTCACAAGTGTGAAGTTCAGTATATTAATTTTAAGAATCTCATGAGATTTAAAAATACTCAGTGATACTACACACCAAAACGTCTAATAAGTTATTTATTATCCAGCTCCTTTCTGATAAGTCTTTCTGCTCATGTCTTATAAGGCTGGAAAGGCAAAGCGGATAGAGAAGCGTAGCGCGCGCAATCGACTGGTTAAACAGGTTTTT